GTATGGCATACTGGACGGACATGGATCTCCCCGGGAGGAGGGCTGTTCGGATGATCCATCACGAGCACAGGTGCATTTGAGTTGTTAGAAGCGAAGAAAAAGCCCATGCGATAGTGGAACGAATTCAGTGAACATCCTGAACGAGCACCTCCACGTCATTGGACGACCACTTCTGTGTCATTGGACGACCGTATAAAAAACAAACTGGCATTTTCGATAAGGTCGACATCACATTTTGATTGCCTCACAACCTCACGTTGTGGTCCCCTCCTTATCGAGGTTTTCCTCCTTATCAAACTTTACCTCCTTATCAAACTTTACCTCTTCTTGAAGCTTTACCTCTTCTTGAAGCTTTACCTCTTCTTGAAGCTTTACCTCTTCTTGAAGCTTTACCTCTTCGAATTTTAGGTCGTCGAGCAAAGGCTCATCAGACCACAGGTGCTGAGGGATGTTCTTGTAGTGAGTACCAACACCTAACATCCATCGTTGTTGATCCAGTAGTTCGGAATCGTTTATTGTGAGTGATGTTAAGCGTTGGTTTATTTCCGCAGCATATGATCCAGCGGTTGTTCGAACAATATGATGACGTAATTCTTCTAATTTCATGGAGCCCGTTAGCTCAGGCGATGAATTCTGGATTGTGATAGAGGCGAGAATCCAACACAGGTAGAAACGTGTGTTCATCCCAGCTCGATGGTTCAAGTCGGAACCGGTCGCTAGCTGCAATGCATTTGAGACTGACACTAATTCCGTTATATTTGACGGACACCCTTTCGCCGGGTCGATGGCATAAACTAACATCAAACGCCGAGTCAACTTTTCACGCCGAGTCAACTTTTCACGCCGAGTCAACTTTTCACCATGTTCCAATCCCGCGGTATTCAATAAGATCTCCGCTACATTAATACGGTCCCCATTTTTGTACCTTTCTTCCACAGACTTCAACTGACCTCCAACATCCAACAATCCAGCAAGCAAACCTACCGGTGTATTACATCCAATCGCTCCTGCACAAATGCCTCTCATAATTTTTTTTTACTCTACACCAGGGTTACCACCTGGGGTTACCACCTGGGGTCACCATCACCATCACCACCTGGCGTAATCGCACTGGATTTGTCCATACACCGAATGTATCGTTTTGTGGGATAATACCATTGTGCACCAGCGAGACAGGACGCACATAGTACGTCCTGAATTTCTGCCGTTTAAATGAGGGGTGTTGTTAGCTCAGGTTGTAGTTCGTGTCAAAAGACTGGGGCAGTACTAGCTCATGTTGTAGTGCCTGTTCTTTTTAATGGTAATCCGTTGGATTTGTTATACTCTGCAGTAACGTTCTTACATGACGAGGATGCGTTTAGTGGGGATATATCCACTGAGGAAATGTCCGATGAGCTGAAGGCCATTAAATCGATATCGAGACAGATAAGAGGTATAACTTACGACTTCTCGGCTGTTCTGGGATACGGCAGTTCAGCAGAATCGTCGGAGTGTGAAGTGGTCACTCCATGGAGTGCCGACTTCATCCAGTTCCTAATTAAGAGTCCGGACCTACAAGCCTGCATGGTCGCAACCGTGATTGATTTGGCGGATCGTCTAGCACTGTTAGAAGACGTTCCCATTGAGTACGGTACCACGCCATTCATTAAATCCGTGTTGAATGAAAGACGTAAATGCCGGAAAGCGCTTAACACAACCGCAGCACGCGAGATAAGCTCCTCTACTCGCTGGACCCATGCACCCGCTGACCTTGAGGATCTGGCTAAAAGCTATAAATGCCTGCACCACATTACACAGGACAATATCACCGTCATGTTCCCTGCTATGCACCTCACCTGCGAGCCCTCCGGCGAACTAGCTAAAACTGCTAGCACACTCTTTTCCGAGTACGGCTATGCGTCCGACCACGACCACGTGGACTCCGAATACGACCCCCCAAACTACCCCGATTCCGAATACGAATACGGCCTCCAAAACTACCCCGATTCCGAATACGAATACGGCCCCCCGAGCTGGCCCGACTCCGAATACGACCCC